ACATAGATACTTTATTATGGTATAGTATTTAAATATATGCCTGAGAAACACATAATATTGCCCCTTTAACTGTATAGACGCTAAAGAATGCTCATTGTTCTTTGTGTTCATTTGGTTCTCCAGCGTTTTTATACTAATTTCTTCCTTGTGTGCTCTAATATTTCTTCCTTTATTCTTTATCTCTAATGCTTACTTGAACGGCTGCAGCTATAATAATTGCAATTTCCCCATGGGGATCATTAAAGTATTCTGATTCTGATATCTCTATCAGGACACCACAAAAACAGGTTCCCCTCAGCCATACAGTTTTTTGASTCCCAAGCTTTTGCTTGGTTTGAAATTTTAATTTGCATAAACTATTAGGAGAAGCTCATAAAATACTTCTTTATTGAGCAGTTAGGAGTTAAAATACAAATATACTTAGCATAAAAAGTAAAGAAAATGTGGAAGTAGTCTGTGATAAATCCCGCTCAGTGGGGACGATGTTGTCATGTTGGAGGATGGTTTGGTCTAAGACTGTGGAAATATGGGATTGCCACTAATTTGTACCAGGCGCTCAAAACGAGTCAACTGCAGAAAAAAAGGTGTTTGGGCATTAGCAGAAAGAATACGGCATTTTTTTTCATGTACCCAAATACTCAGCTCTATTGCTCATCCCACAAATGCATGTTCCTTACAAATGTGGCACCATTAAAAAAACATTTAACAAGTTTTCCAATGATATCCAATTTATTGCCAAGAAGCATTTTTACAACAAAGACATAATCTACCAAACACAAATTTCCTTACTTTTGTGATAAGTTTATGTGTTTTATTTAAAATTAAAAATAAAACTTAAAATCTTTTCTCCCTGAATAAAGACAACTGGTGTAAAACTAGTGTCCTAAGCATTTGTAGGGTCTCAGGAGGTTATTTGCAAAATATTTCTTTCAGAAATATAAATTTAGGAGAAGACAAGCTTCAATAAGTGGAGTAGTGACYGTGTTTTTCCTCAATATTAATTGTAAAAAAAAAAAAATCGACAGTAGACTTATGTATGTCAGAAGGTGATTCCTTGTATTTATCAAATAAACTAAATATGAAAACATAAATCTCCTGAAACTCAACTGGTTTTTGGTTTTGGTTTGTCACCCCAGGATTTTCAGTGGCTCCCACGTGGCCACCTCACCAAAACACTGAAGTCACCACTGGTGTCCACCTGTTTTGGGTTTTAAACTGACCTCAGAGTGCAATAAAAATTACAGAACTGTGTCACCTTTGAAAGACACAAACAAATACACACATGTATTTTTTTAACCACCATGATGTCACCTCTGTTACCGACCAGGTTGTCTCTCTCTCTTTCTGTCCAACACCCTGCTTCTCTCTGCCTCCCACTTCCACCTCCGGCCTCGATAAACAAAGTGTAAATACGCTGCTTCGTTCCTTCACTTTCACAACATCCGCACGAGGCCACAAAGTCACTTTCAGTTTCATGAAACCAGACAGGAGCAGTGACATAAAGAAAGCTGTGATGTCACAGTATATGAGTGGGTGATGGGGAACGCAGCCCATTAGTTTATTCTTACTCATCTGTTGAATCCAGTGTTAGTTTCTGTGGCTGACTTGTCATAATACTAATTCAAAATGACCTCCTGAGCTCTGAATACCACCAAAGTAATCTCCAGTCCTGACTTGATAACATATTGAGGAACTGTTTTCGTTTCTGAATGAAGCATCAACATTTTACTGTGGAATTGAAGTTTCTACATGTTTCATTTTAAACATTCTCATTTTTTTCCCCTCAGAGATTTTTTTTTTCTAGTTTTGTTGGAAGTGTAGGAAAACCCACACTCCCAAAAAATACCTTCTTGAGTGGATTAAACAAAACAACAAAAAAATTCACAGGGTTACACGGATTTCTTTTCTGATGTAGCAGTTATATTTTTAATTAAAATATCAGGACYGTGTCACCAAAATCTATTCAATTTGTTTGTAATTTCTTCAACAGGGGTCATGGGATATTTTAACCAAGTTGGTCAAAATTTTGTTATATATATATTATTTGGTAAATGTTGTGTTATTTAGAAGTAAACAATGCACATCTTTTAAAACAAGTATTTTGTGTCATTTGTGTTGAAAAAATAAGCATAAATGATTAAATTTGGCAAAATATAATTTGTTTAAAGATTTAAAAGACTTTAACCAAGGTGCATCAAACCTAAAAGCTTATAATTATCCAACCATGATCTGTGACTACATAACAAAAATCAATATAACTGTAAGGAAAATGTCTTGTTGAAAGAAAACATGAAATTTAAGAGCTACTTTTGTATTTATTCCAGCACATTGWGTATTTTATTGTTACTCTGTTGACTTAATTCTCATTGTCACTCAGCTTGTCATGTTTATTAATTATGTTTCTAGTAACAGCTGTTAAAATATTTCTGATGACAAAGTCAAGTTAATCTAGATAAAAATTAAGTTTGAAAAGTATAAATGTAAACTCAGTATCTGGCAGGAAACAGGTTATTTTTTTAATA